ACATGGCGAAATGGAGAGCACCTTCTTTTCTAAATGCGCACTACATACTGTCAATCACTATGGCTGCGCAATCTTTTCTATTTTGAAGCTGATACATTTATCTCTCATAAAATATCAAACATATTAATATTTTCCACCAAAAAAAGTTTCGAATTTAGTGGAACATTTACTTGACCTATAAAAGTATAGTATATTTCAACTTCAATTTTCATAAGTTGGCCTAAATTCGCCCATTCTAATTTTAACAGATATTAATTAATAAATGATTAAGGATTATAATAAAATAAGTCATATTAGGGTTAACGAGGGTTAACAAAAATCAATCCAAAATCTGAGTATTTTTCAGTTTTACGCTGACTTAGCTTTATAGTCGAACCAGTCAATCTTTAGATAAAATTATAATGAACACAGAAGTAATTTTAACATAAATATTTTACGGAGTCCGTTCCTGAAATATACAAATAATAACATACCAAAAGCCCGAAAAAATCTAATCAGGGGAACATTGTTCATTATAAAGATATTTAATGGGTTAAAATCAAATGTTTTATTGCACAACTGCTCTGCTGAAGCGTATAAATGCATGTCGTTGCCAAGTTGTTGCTAACGAAAAAATGTGAATTATAGGGTAATACGCCCGCGCGCGATTCAAAAGCGGGGAACACATAGGTTTGTCGCGTCAAAGGGATCTGTTGCCGAGTGATCTCCTTCTCAAATACATCCATGGTAGTTCACAGTGTGAACTCACTGTGACCCCAGTGTGTTTTTATACAGGAAACGCAGTGTGAAATTCACATATTAGTTCACAGTGTGAGCACACTGTGACCATACAGTGTGTTTTTATACAGGAAACACATGTGTGAAATTCACATAGTAGTCCACAGTGTAAACACACTGTGACCATAGTGAGTTTTATACAGGAAACACAGTTTGAAATTCACATAGTAGTCCACAGTGTAAACACNNNCAAATGAGATTTGAAGTTGTCTTCTTTCTGTCTCTTATAGACATCTAGATGTGTATAAGAGACAGGGGTCATCCTTGATATGCCGGGTTCTCCCGACAAAAACTTCATTTTTCCCCCGATCGATAAAAATTACCCTTCTACGCTTCCGCCGCCGTTGTGTAGGGTCTTCGTTTGCGCTTTGCCATGGTAGGGATTTCCATCGCTGTGTATCTTTGTTTAGTGTGATTGACAGGTACGCGATGGGAGAGTGTTTGACGTGTGCCTCGTGTCACGTGCCGTCGCGTAAGGATTACGCGCTTATCATATACGAACGACGATATCGACAGTTTCTAATACAGTATAACCAAAGATACTAGAAATACTGCACTCGCATAGCAAAAATGAGGCGGAGATTGGTCCAGACGTACTCGGCGCCCTTCCCTCTCAAAGTTGTGGTGGCGTGCTTCAAAAACAAAACAGACGACACGTCTCTATCTCTTGCTCGCTCATCTTTTTTGGTGGAAGAATTTTGCGAAATATAGCGCTGAGTGCCTGACGTTGTGTATTTTTCAATCATTGTTACTAACTTTGAAAGTGAAAACGTTTTTCTATGTGATTCATCTTTTGCCACTTATTCTGGTTATTAAATGGAAGGATCATTTTAAGGTAACTAATTTACAATATTGCTGATATTTCTTATATCGTAATGATAAATAGGCTAGGCCTTAGCCCAAGAAAATTGTTTATGTTGTTCTTGATGCCGGGGTGGGTGCACCAGCGAGGCTGAGGCAACCGTTGAAATGAAACAAGATGAGGCCTAGCCTAGACCTTTAAAAGGATTCCGCTTAGGCCTAAAACCTAGGTCTAGGTAAACGTTGTTAGACTGTTTGTGACTGGTTAGGCGTTGTTGTGTTGGAAATCCAAGGTACTATTCCTGATGATTCCTTCTCTTCTCTAGGACGTAGGGCACTGGAAAATTGTTTTTTATTGCGCTGATGATACCTCAACTCAAAATCTAGCTAAAAAGGTGAGCAGAATCATAATTACTGCTTAATACCTTGTTTATATATTAAAGGTTAGGTTAAACCTAATTTTTGGCAAAATTTGCGCTGATATCACTGTCAGCCCTTAATTTCCAAAATGGCGGGCAGATTTCTAGACCAAAACTGACACATGAAATTACCTCTATTTAGTAGAAACTAACAGAATCATACTGTAAATGTTGTAATGTAATTAAGCCGCTTATTTTGACTTGCAGTATAGGCCTAGTAGTGGATCGTAAAATAACTACAGTAGTAGTGTCAATTGAGTAAGCTTGGAAGATGGAGTGTTATGCCTGAGTGTACAGTACTGTAGGCCACTGAGAACCCAGATATTAAAAGTTCAATGTCAAAACCATCCCCTCATCATGACGAATACCATTCATTTAGCATAGATAGATTTTTATTCAGGAATTTAAGTTTACGAATTATTAGTTACTAGCCTAGTCTTTTCATAGTAATTTATGGTTTTTAAAAGTAAACATATTCAAACAATTTCACAACTCACACCATGTACTGTACTAGCCTTAGCCTAGCCTCCACACACAATGATACGGACATGCCTTAAGGCTCAATTAGGGGTTTGCACCACTATTCATTTTCGTAAAGAACTTGAATAACTTTACCGCAGAAAAAATAGTAGGCCTACTATTTTCTCTGTGACTTTACCATGTGGTAACGCTGATACCCTCTGTGGAAATTACTGTTAACCACTGGGATTTTTCGTCTGTAGCCATGCTGGGGTTGTAGCAGTGTTCTTTTTTTTATATAAAATAAATATTAAATATTTACAATATTTTTTATAAGTTTATTTCCAATTACTGTTGCCGACTGAAACCCCACATACACTAAGTATTTGGTTCGTGCGAAATACGCAATAGTTCATTCTTCAAGTTCAATTTATTTTGCCATTTGAACATTGGAATTTCACAGTATTCTTACACTTTACAGTACATTCTAATAAAGAACAAATCGTATAATCAATTAGGGCCTCATGAAATTTTTATTATTTTTTTCGAAGTCACCATACTCATTTCTATTTGTGAATAATATGCAGTGGATCCTTTCCTTATTTATTAGTTTATCATGTTGAAGACCGTTGCTTAAGTGATTTCGAGGAATATTACAATTGCAACAATTGCCGTGCATCTATAAAGTGGTTTTTCATGGTGGGATTACAGATCATAATTGAAATGATCATATATTTATTAATTTTATTTATTTATTTCGATATCCAACATCGGCAAATACAAACGACAGTCATGGCATAGGCTGAAATGATTTTGCCTATATGATCAGACCCACGAGACTATTGGGCCCACTTTCAAACCATGAGTGTTTTGATGCATGGTTTTGGTGGCCGGTGGCCTAGCACTGATCAGTGCCTACAGTAGGCCTCCCTGGTCTTCCTAGCTTACTCAAGACACATACAAAAAATGTAATTAAATGTTTATTTGAAATGCTTTAATATAAGTTAATGGTGGACTTGAACTTGTAACAATGGTATGTAACAACTATTACAGACTAGTATTTAAAAGGTCAAGGTAAAACACAGCAAGCATCTTGATAATGATTAATAAAATTGAACAATAATATGGTATTGTACATAATACTTAATCAACATCACCATGGGATATATATTGTCAACTAGTGAACAAGCAAAGCAAACAATTTTCTACTTATGCATAATATGAGTACAGTAATTTATGTTGGACATAAGCACTATAGACATTATCACTATGGTGATGGTCAAGTCTGGTTTGGTATTATAATCACACTTGGAGAAGCCATGGCAGCCAGTTAGGTTAATTTCTGTTGCATGATGGTTACATTGATGCAGTTCATACTGTCTATACATTCACAAATATACATTACTTGTCTTATCTTTAAAAAATATTTTTTTCTAATTCTACATACAGTATGTGTTATTTTTATTGATATGTACAATATAAACAATGTCACTCTCTTTCATTTTTTTGCTATGATTTTAATTAATTAAGGATGATTGCCCTGTTGGTTTTTTGTCTAGTTCAAAATTGTATGTTCAGATGATGTTGTATACGGTTCCAAACAAACTCAATCAAACTCAAATTAAATTTAATTAGTGCACTTTATTTGATTAGAAATGCAGTTAACTGTTTTTGATGGATTCTGTATGGTATGTAGAGTCTAGTTCACAGACATGTGGTAGACATGAGAACAATGATAATTATTAACCCTTGGGCTACAGACAGATCTGTCAAAGTTAAAAACGTATTGAGTTGATTGAGTAAAGCCTTGTTATACCTCCATGTAGTTATCAAACAAGCGAATGTTATGAGATTGACCCCAACCGTTTGAACGGGATCACCTGCTTAAAAACAAACTGTTCGTTCAGCAACCATATTGCCTTCATTGACCTATTTGTGTACTGTTTGTGTTTAACTTTTCATCACAATAATAACAAAAACAATAATAATAATAATAATTATAGTAATATTGATAATAATAATATTAATATTAATAATAATGATATAATAACATAAATTCATTTATTCTGTTTTATTGTAAATTAACGGACTACTGTATATATTACTTTTCACATTGAATTAAGCCCATGAAACAACAGATATTCTTCTTGACAATGAATTTAATTACGTTAAAACATCTATTGGAACGCAAGTCAGCAGAACAGTGTCAAGTGTCAAAACAGCATTTTAACACTATTTTTTAAAATGCCAGTGCATATTAATGTATAGAATAAACTTGTTGATTATGTTGATTTCAAGTTATAATTCTGGTAAATTTATAATTTAATATATCCTACTGAATGTGGAAACAAAAAGTTGAAAATCCCAACCAGCTCTTATACCGTAGCAGACAATCTTGGCAAATACAGTAGTTCATTTGTGAAATAGTTAACTTTGCTGATGTGAGCCTACCGTAAATCCTCGAATAGAAGCCCAATGGGCTTAATCTCGACAAAAAGCACCTCAAATTGAAGCCACCTCTTTAGTTTGCAGAGGTGGCCTTGAAAAGAGGCCGATGGGATAGTACACCACTGTACATGAATTTCAAAGAAACAAAAACAATTAAAAACATGCTTGCTTTATACAGTAGTTTAGGTGATTTAATGCTGGTTAATACACTCCATGTCACAGACTGATGTTACAGTGACTGTATTTATTGTTTTATAGTAGTACTGTAATTCCCAAAATTTATAGCATTTATTTTTAAAAGAGGCCCCTTCTTTAATTTGCAAAAGTAACCCATTCAAGTTCACGAAATAAAAAAAAAGCCCAGGTTTTATGGTATGCTGTTTTAAAATCTGCCAGCCTGTAGGTGTCCTAAGTTTCTCGCAAGTTGCGGAAGTTTGCTGGAAATCGAGATGGCTTCCTGCATTCCTACAAGCAAATAAGAATCTCGGAAAAATAACCCATCTCCCTTAGGGCCCGTTCGAGCGAAAAACGCAAACCGTATTCCGGTGAATTCACCGGTTAATCGAGCCGAGCACACAGCGGGTGGTCCACCGTTCGAGCAAATTTTAGCTCATGTCGAATACCGTTTAACGAAACTATTCCGGAATTAATTTTGTAAGGTCATTCAGAAACATCAATCCCATCAACCCATTCTTTGTTTACTTCTGCTTGCTTAAACGATACGCGGGAACGATTTGTATTGAAGTTTAATTCTCTGAATACTGTACTGTAATGGTAATTTTACAAATTGAACGTGTAGCTATGCTACTAGCCACCATTATGGCTACAATGATGCGATGTTATGTGGATGGACTTACTGTCCAATCCAACTTTGATTTCGCCGTGAACATGAGGAGGCGAAGAAGAGCGCGACAACAGCAGGTACTTGCTGTGGACGAACCATTTGGCAAAGCAATTAAGGTTGATTTATCATCGTCTCCGGCTCCAAGGCCATCTCATACACAGAATTCTACCCAGCAATTTGGTGGTCAAAATTGTCGCGGATAATCCAGTTGGTAAGGTAATTATGCCTGTGTCCGAGCGGTTTTAGAAAGTGTGTACTGGTGGATTAACTGGAAAATCGCACGGATATTTTTTCGCTCGAACGGGCCCTTAGTGTTTGCATGTTTTTACTGCTTTATTATCAATTGTCTCACGGAAATCAGTTCCATTGTGTGACGGATGTCTGCTCTATGCACATGCACAGCTAAACCTTGTACAAGAACCTTGTTTCTCCTTGGCTTCACTCTCCTCCTGTATTTTGAGGAAATCAATATTTATTACTAGTAAAATTAAAATTAACCAGATCTCCTGGAAGGAAGTTACTTCTTCCAACTTGGAACCCCTGAGCATGTACTGTAGCTGTTAAAATATTTTTTTTTTCTCCATTTTCATAATGGTGCAATATTTTACGTTTACATCAGCACCTCTTGCAAAAGACTAACAATTATGTCACTGCTGAGCTTTAGAAAACTTAAAGCCCATTCCCCCAAAATTTCAGTTGTTAAGGAAAATGTGATTCTTATCTGTTATAAAGATTTATTATAATACAAAATTGCTAGTTCCTACACATGAAAAAAATGTAAAATAAGACTGAAGTGTGAGAGATGTGAAATACAAAGACTAATCTCATAGAGAGGGCGCATTTTATTGACTGTATAAAGTATAC